CCTGCTTCCAGACACACAGCCAGGTTCTAGTGCAGTGGGTAAGGGGAAAGGACCACAGTTCCCGGGACTGGGACCGTGGCCAGAAGGTGGAGAGGATCTGAACCTCGGAAACTGGCTGTGCACCTCCCGTCTCCGGCCCCTGCCCGCTCCACACACGCCTCCCCGCGGGGTGGGGGGTGGTCTCCTTCCTCTCCTACAGGCCACAGAGCAGGGCCTCCCCCCGACTCCTCATCCCCACCCCAGGCTGCTGTCCCCGGGGCCTGTCCTCGGGGGGCCACCAGGCCAAGCCCTCTCCAGTTGTTTTATTAACTGTTAGGGTAATGTTTGCTCCTTCGTTCATTCAACAAATACTCATTTGGGGGAAAACTGGAATATTTAGAAAAGGAAAAAGGGAAACATTACCCATCGTTCCACCATTCAGAGATAGCCAGAGTGACCATTCTGCTACATTTGGTACATTCTTGGTACATCCTCTCCTAATCTTTTTTCTTACGGATAAAAATTAATTAAAAATGTATAGCTCCTCTTTCAAACCCTTAAAGAATTGGGCAGATTGACTGTTTAGACTTGGGAAGGCAATCAGAGGTTCCCTAGCAGGACCCCGCCGTGTTTAGATGCATAAGCCAAAGCCCAGACAGGGCGTGATGTGCCAGAGATCACTCAGCAGCCTCGCTTGTCCATGCTGCTCCACAGCTTCTAGGCCAGAGCTAGAGGCTTACCGTGCGTACCAGCTCTGGGCCAGGCCCCCCCCCCCGCCCCCCCGCGTTTGGGCCCTGCTCCTTCATTATCCAGCAGCAAGGCCTCGGGGAGGTTTCTAAGCACTCAACACCTTGAGCTTCTCATCCGTAGAGTGATGATGGCAGCAGCCCCGCCCCGTTGCTCGTGGAGAACAGTAAAGGCTCCACGTCGGCACTCAGCGCGCGCGACACGCGGGAAGCCGTCGGTTTTCATTGCTGCTGCTGCTGCAAAGCTCGATCAGTAAACTCTTCCCGAAGGGGTTTGGTGCGGACCCTCGTCTGTCAGCCGGGTTTTTCCTCTTCCATGCCCGGGACCAGTGACCTCAGAGCAGTGCCTGCAGGGGTGTCAGCAGTGTCAGAATGAGCCAAGGCTGTGGACTGTGACCCCTCAGGTTCAGATTAATTAATTTAGTCTTCAGGGCTTTTGCTACGCGGAGTTTGTCTGCAGGTGGTCACTGAGCGTCCACGTGGACTGAGTGCCGCCTGGCACCGATTCTGCCCTGTTTCAAGATACCCAATTAACAACCCGAGTTTCCACCAAAGGGCTTGGATTCTGTGGAAAGATGACCATGTCCCACAGGAAGAGGAAGCTGCTCTGTCTTCAGAGATGCCTGTAGCTGTGTCTGGCAGGTCCACCATCTACATTTGTCTTCCAGACCTTGATCTGTGGTGCCTAGTGCCTTTGTTCAGTGCTGGGACTGAAGCTGCTCTGCCAGCGGAGTATTGCAGAAAAGTGGAACCAGGGGCAGTCTGTGAGCTGTCTGTTCCTCTGGCTACACCCTCATCGAGAGGGCAGCTGCCTGAGGTCGGTCACGGTGACAGGGCCAGACTGTGGGGCTCAGCACTGAGAAGAATGGCACATATACTCTCTGACCAGATCTGTGTTGCACAAGGAAAATATACCTTTTGTGGGAAAGGGAAAAAAAATACTCATTTGTGGAACTTGGGTTGGTGGGGGGAGGAGAGACTCTGATTTGGGACTGTGTTGACCTTGAAAGGTGGAGCTGTTTCTGAGAACGGTTACAGGTAGACAAAACCAAAAGTGACATCTGTCCTAAAGGACACATCCAATTACAAGGAATAATACTAGTTTTCTGCAGTATCTGAGTGAGCAATATGGCACCAGTCTGTTTGCCAGGAACGAAACGGTCACTAATGTGGTCGTCTAAGAGCTGAATAACTCAAACATCTGTTCTTGGTACAAATCAGTATATTATTAAATCTTCCATTTTAAGAGCTTTTGTTATTTGGATGCCAAATGTTGGCTTTCAAAGTGAAAATCAACCATCAGTTACGGGTACAAGAGCAGGTAGCATGAGCCAGACCCTGTGAGCAAGGCTTTAGGGCCTCTTACCTCCTCCCGAGCAACCCCTGCCCCATTAAACCTGTTCCAGTGAGACTGAGGCCTTTTAGTTATTTTAATAGTAAATACGACAGTGAACTGCTGAGTGAAAGTACTAGATTTATCGGAGCACTACGGTAGGACTGCTCCTGAGGCCGTGGGGTCTATTAAATCGACTACCGGGGAGAAGGCGGAGGAGCCTCTGTTCTACTCGTCTCTGGTGACACATACCAGGGCACGTGCACTACCTCTGCTGGCATCTAGGTCTGCTCTGCGCCAGGTGGCCCAGGCCATCGTTACTCTTCTTCAGGCATAAACTTCCAGAGGACAGGGCTTCACTTCAGCGTCTTGAGCTCTGATAGCTTTTTGCGTTAAGGACTAAATAAACATTTTGAGGTGGAGCGAGCAGTAGCTTTTGCCACAGTCTGAGTAGCGGTGGTGGAAACTGATCCTTCCCTCACGAGCCTGAAGAGAGACAGGAAAACAGCCCTCCGAGCTCCTCGAGTCCTTGTGTGAAGACTGACTGAAGTTTGTCATGTTCATTGTCGGTTGTGTTTCCCTTGTTGCCAGTGAAGGGCCGGTTTTATAGGGACTTGTTGGTAATCAGGTGCCACCCTTCGCCACTGGACAGCCTCACAACGTGAAGCCCCCTCATGTGGTGGAGATTGTTACGTACTGAATCTGTGTTCCCCCCAAATTCATATGTTGAGGCACTAACCTGCAATGTGATGGTATTTAGAGACGGGGCCTTTGGGGTGATTAAGTTTAGATGAGGTCATGGTGGGATTAGTGCCCTCATGAGAAGAGAGACCAGAGAGATAGCTCGCTTGCTGTGCCACATGAGGACACAGGAGAAGGCGGTTGTCTGCAGGCCAGGAACAGAGCCCTCACCAAGAATGAATCGGCCGGCACCTTGATCTTGGACTTGCAACCTCCAGCACTGTGCCAAATAAATGTCCGTGTTTCAGCCACGCAGTTTGTGGTATTTTGTTACAGCAGCCTAAGAAGACTAAAAGACAGCCTAAGAAGACTAAGACAAGACCCTTTGTGTTCATGCCCTTTCCAGAGAACCTCTCAGGACTGGCTGCCTTACGCGTATTTAAAGATTTAAAAAAATTGCCTTGCTCCTTAACTTCTGGTTTTTGTCCTTGAGCACTACCAAGACCAGATGGTTACAGGAAGCAACATTTTAAATGAAATGCCTCACAAGCAAGTCTTAACCTTTGTCAAGAGCCCAGAAGAAAAAGCTCTGTTCCTGCACTCACCCAGGTGAGGAACATGCAGCTCGTTAGGGTTAGGGTGCCACTCAGAGCACAGCGTCTGTCCCCACTTCACAGTGTTGCTACATTTGTCCTCATTGAGAAGTAACTGCTGATTTCGTCTTTCAGTCCTGCAAGGGGGCAGCTACTGACTCACCCTTTATGTAACCACGTGGTTTCGGCTCCAGTTACGTGCACTCCAAGGTTTTCAGGGAGCTTTTTGCCACTGAATCATTGACACAGAAGTGTATTTTTCTTTGCACCTAATGTTAAAATTGTCATCTTACCCTCATCTGAATGCAAGCACGTCATATTAAGATAACTTGTGTGAATGTTTGCAGTTTATATCTGTATTTAAAGATTCTCAAACCATTCTTGACTCCTTCATATCTTCACTGGGAATGGGGGCTGAGCAAGGCCCCGTGGGTGGGCCTCATGGAACATCTGCAATGATACAAGAAACAGGCTTCATCCCCTACGCAGGAGCTTGGTCAGATGTCCTCGCCTTGCCCGCTCCCCAGCCTGGACAGGGCTTTCTGGCTGCCCAGTGCAGCCTCTTCCCTCTGGCCCCGTGTCCTCCTCTGGTCTGGTCCCCGTCAGCTATGGCAACAGCAGCAAGCTAGGCTGTAGCCCAGAGTGGTTAGAAGAAGGAAGTGGCTGGTGATGGATGAGAAAGGGGAGAGCCCTGCCAGGATGCACCAAGCGTCAGGCTGTACAAGCCGTGTGGCCTCCCCTGTACAGATGAGGAGGCCGGTGCCTAGACATCGAGAAACTTGCAGGGGAATTCAAGCCCCGGTCCACGTGACTGGACTCCATGTGCTTTTCCCTCTTCCCAGCCTCAGCTCCCGGCAGGGGGTCCGGACCACACGTCACTGAGTAGAATGTCCCGATGACTGGGGTGTGGGCCAGCTGTTTACCAAACCTGTGTCCACATCCCCTCATTTAAAAAACAGACAAACAGAACCTTCCACTTTATTATAACAAGTAAAATTCTGGTGCCTTTAATATGACAACCTTCGAAGGCAAATACATACTAGTAATATTTATTGGAAACCTGACTGGGATTTTCAAAGGAAATGATTATGTCTGAATACATACCGCAACCAGGTAGTTTGAGTCCATTGATTCTCAAGTTAAATAAAGCTGGCGATATACAAGAAGAAATATCTTCTTTATTGATGTTCCATTTATATTGAGTTTAAAATCTACTAATATCAAGCCTTTTGCCCTAATTCCCTTTCTACTGGAAGTGATTAATGACTAAATGTCTTTATTAAAGCAGATGTGCCCTTTATTTCCAGTAACACTGCCTCTGAAGAGCAAGCTAATTAATGATTTTTAAATGTTTAACGTAAGCAAGAAATAAAGCAGTTTTGTGTGTTGCTGCAAAGAAGACATTCACAACTGATCTGCATATCACTTAATTAAACCAGGTCATTCACAGAAAATAATTATCTTCAATTATGATAAAAAGAATTTGGTGAAAGCAAAATGGAAATTATTCTGCCTTTAGTGAGGAGTTACACCATTAGCGCTTACTGAAGTTAAGAAAGCAATTATCTGAGGTGGTGGCCAAACAGGGGATAAGTTATTTACTGTAATTGCTTGAAAATGCGGCTGTGTGTGAACAGTGGTTTTAGATTAATTTCCTGCTTCCTTTTAGATATTGTCATTTGTCTTATGAGGATCTATAAAACTTTATTAACATTTAAATACCCACTTGAAGGACCATGTTTTTTTTTTTTTTCACTGTATTATTGATTTATTCTTTTTGCATTTTAAAAAAGTTACACTTGTTGAATATACTGTTAATACCCACAAGCCAGCTAGCGGATCTGTTTTTTTTTTTTAATTCAATTTAATTTTTTTTTTATATAGCAGGTTCTTATTAGTCATCAGTTTTATACACATCAGTGTATACATGTCAATCCCAATCTCCCAATTCATCACACACACCCGCCCCACCGCGCTTTCCCCCCTTGGTGTCCATACGTTTGTTCTCTGCATCTGTGTCTCAACTTCTGCCCTGCAAACCAGTTCATCTGTACCATTTTTCTAGGTTCCACATACATGCATTAATATACGATATTCGTTTTTCTCTTTCTGACTTACTTCACTCTATGACAGTCTCTAGATCCATCGACGTCTCAACAAATGACCCAATTTCGTTCCTTTTTATGGCTGAGTAATATTCCATTGTATATATGTACCACATCTTCTTTATCCATTTGTCTGTTGATGGGCATTTAGGTTGCTTCCATGACCTGGCTATGGTAAATAGTGCTGCAATGAACATTGGGGTGCATGTGAGGACCATGTTTTGATGGGAAGTCCATGAGGTGTTACAGAGCTTGGACTTGGTAAAGTCACAGCATAGTTTGTCCCACCTGCTGAATCATAGGACCCTGGGGTAGAAAAGGTTGTGAGATGGCTGACCCCTATTTGCATTTTAGACTTCTGGTCAGTGGCCACTTCTGCTGGTGGACCTTCCCAGTGAAATTCCGCAAAGCCAAAAGCCTCAAAGATATGCTCTGTGCTCTCATTGACATGAGTGTCTTTTCTAAGGAACAGGTGGTTTTCTGTTTTCTTTTTTAACATCTTTATTGGAGTATAATTGCTTTACAATGGTGTGTTAGTTTCTGCTTTATAACAAAGTGAATCAGCTATACGTATACATATATCCCCATATCTCCTCCCTCTTGCGTCTCCCTCCCACCCTCCCTCCCTATCCCACCCCTCTAGGGGGTCACAAAGCACGGAGCTGATCTCCCTGTGCTATGCGGCTGCTTCCCACTAGCTATCTGTTTTACATTTGGTCGTGTGTATATGTCCATGCCTCTCTCTCACTTCGTCCCAGCTTACCCTTCCCCCTCCCCGTGTCCTCAAGTCCGTTCTCTACATCTGCGTCATTAAGGAACAGGTTTTTCAACTAAGGTACAAAGTGGTTACCCAACTTTATCTAGATAACCCTGGGGCTTGAACACGAATTCTTTTGATGCCATTCCTACGCAATTTCCAGAAAGAAGAGGGTTCTAAAAGGTTTTGTCACCATCCTTATCATACCAAGCTAAACCTGAACCATTTTCTGTGCCCCTCGCTTCCCCCGCCCCCAAACAATAGATAATTTTAAGAAAGACAGTGGTTCTCACTTGTGTCTTTAAAGAGCCCAGCTTGCTGTGAAGTCTCTGCACCTCTCTTCTGCCTCTAACCAGCTGGGACAATGCAGACCTCGTCCTGGCTTTGCCCTGGCATAAGCCATGTCCTCCTGCTGGGAGTGTGTTTCTTACCCAAAGTGAGAAGAACCCAGAGGACAGGACCCTGAGCTCACTGTGACCATTTTAACGGATGTTGAAATACTGGCAATTTGCCAGATGCTTGAACTGTTTCCAGAAACTTTCCTTTTCACAGTCTCTTCTTGCATGCATTGGTAGTACAGGCAATGTATATAGACTTTCAATGTGATACCTACTTAGATACTTTAAAATATAAATTTTAAATTTTAATCTGTCACTTATAGTCATGTTTTTCCGGTGGGGGGGGGGGAAAAACCTTCTGTTTTTTCACCATTTCTCCAGGACTCTGGATCGATTTGGAAATGTCCTACAACGGGTCCTTTCTGATGACTCTTGAGACCAAAATGAATTTGACCAAACTAGGTAAAGAGCCTCTTGTTGAAGCCCTGAAGGTTGGAGAAATTGGCAAAGAAGGGTAAGGGGCTGTATGAATTCACTAACCCAACCCTGGGGAGCCACCTTCTCCCTCGAGCCCTTGAGAAGCTGCTTTAATGTGTGTAGCCCCAGTGTTGAGCGTGAGCTTCGTGTAAGTGCTTCCTGGCCCCGGAGGATTTCAGGGAATAGTTTCCTGGTTTCACCCCCTGCAGACTGTGAGTCCCCGCCTCTGCTCACTGCCGTAGGCCTTGGTGCTGCCAGTGGAGCATACAGTGTCGATTACCTGGAAAGCATCCCTGACTCAGACCAGCCGGGCAGGCTGCACAATAAGATGCTCTGTGAAGAGAAGCATCATCCAGAAGCTTCCTCCTTCAGCTTTGCAGCCACACACAGCACTGCGTGGGCCAGGCTGAGGTGCTTCAGGGGGCTGCCTGCTTTAATCACAGAGTCAGAGTTATTTATAATTAGACGATTGATCTTGGAGCCAAGAGGGTGCTCCTAAAGTGTTTTGAGACGCCTTTCCCCTAAATAATACAATATCTATTTTCTTAGTAAACTCCTCTCTTTGTAGAAGATACTGCATCTGTTGCCGAGTTTGTCTAATTTAGTAAACATTTCCAATTTGTGAGATGGTTAATGAAGTTGATTCCTCTTCTTAGATGCCTAGAATGGATAAGCTGGAACTTTCACATTCCCACACACCTAAAAAATGACTGCTTCAGACTACATATTTAAATTATATTATTGTTTTTACCAAGCTAAAAATGCTGATTGGAGTCTGCTTCTCACATCTTTAGCCCCTTTGCATGGAATTAGCAGTATAATGATAGGAAAATGCCACAAGGAGCCACCTTCTCAGCATCTGAATATAAATATAAGACACAGGCTCTTAGATGTTTGTATTATTATCATGCTGACCTGATGCTTGTATTCATACTTGTGGTGAAAGCACAGTAGATGGGGGTGTTGGATCATACATTTGAGAATGTTCTTTCACTAAGGTGATTCCGAGTTATCCAGGTGACTTAATGAAAATGTTCATATTTTAATTTTTGGAGGATTTCACCTGCTGTATGCAGTCTAACCTGTATCTGTGCTATTTTCCTTTCACTTTTCTACTGTTTTGTTAAAAATGTGTTTGGATTCGGCAATCTGTGGATTGTGTTTTCCGGTGAGTGGTATTGATCAGCCCTCCATGTAGCATTTCATACCCCATCAGTGCTGAGTCTCATTCGGACCCATGTGACACCGCGAGGAAGCTTGTCCTTTCATCATGTTCCCCGACATAAAGGCACCGTTTGTAGCCCTGAGTGGATTGAGATCAGGAGCATTTAAGAGGCTTTCCTGGGGGGAGAGTCATACAGACTTCCTTGATTCGTATTGCCGGGGTCCTGACCTAGCCCTCTAGTCAGACTCAGCTTCTGTCCCCAGCTGCCCCGACCACGACGCCATGCCCAGCTGAGCGCCATCAGGCCAGCCTTGGGACGGCAAAGTTGCAGAACCAGCTGCCAGTAAAATCAAGCACCTTAGGCAGAAGCAGTCTTGCAAATGAGCTCTAACTAACCGGGAGCGGGACAGAGCAGACTTCGGTCAGGAGCATTTGTGCAGGGAGCCCTTTCTGGAAACAGCCCTGTGATGGCCCAGGGCTGCTGGGACTCCATTGGAAAGGGGGGTCTTGGGAGCAGGTAGGGCCCCACCACAGCCAGGTCCCTGAGATCCTTGCCACTGAGGCGTTCCATGTTCACTGATATTCATGCAGCTCTCTTGGCACAATTTCAGATTCATAAACTCAGCTGATTAGAGGACAGACCCGTTTCTGAGCAAGCAGTGCTTCTCTAGACTGCATGAAAAAAGTCCTCTGCGTTAGGAATACAATGGTATTATATTTAATTTATAATATATATCTAAAGCACCTTTTTTTCCCAGTAGAGTCTGGTATAAAATGTTTTGCTTCTTCCTGTGAGGGTGTTAAATTTTATGTTGATGTGTAATTGGCTGTCATTTGTTTTTAAAAGCAAGGAAAAATGCAGTCTCAAAGCACTTGGGAGGAAAACGCCTGGATAAATGCACCCTTAACCCTTTTTTGCATAAAGGATCCCCTTGGGAATCTGAGAGCTCTGGATCCTTCCCCCAGAGAATGCCTACACATGTACCATTTGGCTCACAATTTCTGGGAGCTTCGAGAGCCTCTCCAAAGCCCATCCATAGCTAAGAGCCTGATCCCAGAAGTGATTCTAGCATCACCCCGCCTCCTCAGTCAGGAGCTATGGAATCGCCCTGAGGCTGAATGCCGGAGGAGAGGCAGAGTCCCTGCAACTGTGGCTGTTACTGAGCGTGTGATCTTTGGTTTCCTTGAGGAAGCCTCTCCTAGAGCAGCATGTGTGAGTGGTTGGGTCCGCAGCAGCCCTTTCCTCCAGGCCCTCCCTTTAGCCCGTGGCCGCCTGTCCAGGGCCTCACTTCTGAGCAAGGGCTTGTCCCCTGCCGTCCTGCTCTGGCAGGGCCTCTGCTTTGTCTCGCTGCTTTCGTCTGTCCCCCTTCAAGTGTGCAAATGACTGTGCCTTGGGGAGTACCTGAGGAGGTGCTGCTCAGCCTGTGGGAAGTCCTGCTTACTGTAAAAAGTTTATGAGGACCCTGAGGCTGGTGGTAAGAAACTGAAGTCTGTGTCGCTTCACTCTAGTGAAGGCCTTTCCCTTTGAAATGTGGGTACCCTTATATTTGCAGACATTTTTCCTTGAGTCTTTGTATTTCCCGAATAGTCTTCTTGTTACACATTGTAGTTACAGTGACTTTGGGGTGGTAGACACTCAAAATGGAATTCAGGTGGTGAGCTGGGCAGTCTGAACTTTAGGAATTGGCCTGAAGGGGACCTAAGCGAGTCAGGAAGGGGAACGTGCTGCTCGTTGGCTGCTCTTTAAATGCACATCGGGGCGGGCGTTTCCTGGAAGGCCCTTGGCCCGTCCCTGCTCTACCACGGCAGCCTGGGCTGGCGTACAAGTCCCTGCATGGGGGCCCCCCCGCCCCGACCTCTGTATTGGGCCGCTAGTCCCCGGTGTACCCGGGTCCACCACCCCTCCCCGAGGCCCTGATATTCTGGGAGCCCAGTGCTTGTCGCCCACGCCGTGACTCAGTCTAGCTCTGTGGGTGTACTTGCACGTGTGTGTGGCAGATACATGGGCCCGACTTCTGTTAAAGGAAACGAATGCACTCTCGTGGGCGTGGTCCCCCTCCAAGCAGTCCTCAATGGGCTGTTGAATCTAATTATGCACCCTTCACTTAAAGCATTTTTTGGAGCTGCTTTTTAGAGTTGCCTCCGGAGTCTGTGACATTCCTTTAAGTATTCTGAGTGACAGCAAATCTTCCTACTTTCTAGATGGATTGGATCTTTGAGAAATTGCCAGACGTCGTTCAGAGGTGATGGTGATTATGAGACTAAGAAATTAAATGTTTGGTTCCAGACAGAGAGTATCAGTGACAAAATAACGCACTTTTTCTTATGTGTCCGACTGCAAGCGCATTTCCAAAAAGATTTTTAGCAGAGGCAGCAAAACTGGAATAAGCCCTTTAAGGTGACTCTTGAAAGGATATTACACTTATCTCGAATTCTAAGGTGTGTTTAAAAAAGTAGGCTTATCGCGTTCTAGCATATCTTATATAAGAATGTGCAGGGTGTCTTTCTCTGAAATTCATCATAAGGTTGAGATCACAAAATGCATGTTCGGTTATAAAACTTGAATATCTGCCAAATATTTAATTACACTTTTAATTAGTAAGTATTGGGTGCTGCATAGTACAGCCCCCTATGCCGAGAGGAGAGGTACCATTTGGTCACAGTCAGAATTTCATGTCACCTGATCTGTTTTAACTGACAGAGCATTGTCTAAATGATTAACTTCAAGCCACAAAATTTGTCCTGTTCTCTGTCCTGTGGAGGATTAATTCAGGAACCCGAGAGCTCACTGCAGTGCTCAGCCTTTGGCATCTTCTGCCCCACGTCTGGAGGCTGCCAGATGACAAATACCAGTGGGGACAGAAGGGGACAGTGGTTCTGCAGGTTTCACTGTGGTCCAGGATACTGAGGCAGCCTTTTGTGCTCTGTACCTTCCTTACCTGGCAGCACGAGGTCTGAGCCGGGGGGCACAGTCGTTTTACTGATGGAGAAGTAAGATAGGTTTCTGAGATGGTCGTGTTATCTTTGGGGACTTAGCTCCCTGACTTTCTTCATCCCAAGACCCAGTGCAGGCTTTCTTGAGAATCATATTTTACTTTTTATATAAAAGAAGAGCTCTGTGAGGGCTGCCTAACCCTGGAAAGCGCTGAGATGGTTTTGTGACCAGCAGACACACGTGAGCATTTCCTGGACTAGCCCGGCTTCTGATGGAAGGAGGAGGAGTCGGGTGCTGTCCCCGTGGCCAGGGACAAGAGGCCTTTGTGTCTGCAGAGGGAGTTTCCCTTTAATGCTGTACTCAAGCCTGTTGGCTAGAGCGCTGGCTCTAATGTTTCAGGGCCAGGATCAAGGAGGATCCGGGTGTCCTGCCAGGGAGGACATTTGTGCTCGGTCCTCTTACAGCCGGGCTCCCGTTTCAGGGTGGAGATTTCAGTGCCCTCTTCCCAGTGCTGGGGCCTCTGCTGGGCCTTCAAGTCCACACTGGCGGGTGTGCTCTGCCCTTGGCCCTTGTTGGCCAGGAGATGACTGCCCCTGTGGGCTGCTGGTGGCCCAAGGAAAACCCCAAAGGCTTACGCCCGCAGGAAGATGGGACCTAAGCTGCGCTGCCTTCCCCTGTCCTGGTGATTTTTCTCCTTATCAAAAATACAAGGCCCCCACGTGCCACAACTAAGAAGCCTGTGAGCCACAACTGAGACCCAATGCAACCAAAAAAAAAAAAAAAAAAAAAAAATACGAGGCCCACGCTCTGCTTAGTGACCATTTGGTAGCTTAATTGTGTTCATTCTGTCCCCGTTAAGTCTCTGAGCCTCAGAGATGGGCCCTGCTTTCTGCCTCTCTGAAGCAAAGCCACCATCCAGGGAGGGAGCTGCCTTCTTTGGGGCCCAAGCTTGGCCAGGAACCCCCAGGGCCCTCACAGGGGAACCTTGATCACTGGCTGCTGCCAATGATCCAGTGGAAACTGAGGCTCTACCCTGGAAAGATTAACGAGGGACATTGCTCTTTGGTGAAGTTTTTTATTACTTCATTTAAAAAACGTGGTTTTTTAAATATAAATTTATTTATTTTTGGCTGCACTGGGTCTTTGTTGCTGTGCATGGGCTTTCCCTAGTCGTGGCGAGCAGGGGCTACTCTTCTTTGCGGGGCGCGGGCTTCTCATTGCGGTGGCTTCTCTTGTTGCAGAGCATAGGCTCTAGGCACGAGGGCTTCAGTAGTTGTGGCTTGCGGGCTCTAGAGCACAGGCTCAGTAGTTGTGGCGTACGGGCTTAGCTGCTCCGTGGCATGTGGGATCTTCCCGGACCAGGGCTCAAACCTGTGTCCCCTGCATGGGCAGGCGGATTCTTAACCACTGCGTCACCAGGGAAGCCCTAAAAAACGGTTTTAAATGAGTACTTTTCTTGAAAAGTTCCTGGGTTCTCATGTCAGTTGCTTCCTAGAGTCCCTTGAGATTTGTTGGTTGTTGGCTTTTTCTGTGACCTTCAGGAGCTGGGGCAGGTGTGGGCTAGGATACGTAATTTCACTAGGAAGGAGTCTTGAGCCAAGACTAACGGGAGGAAACTAAGCCAAAAAGCATAGTTGTTGAACTCAGCCAGAGTCAGGGGACTTGCCTGAACATCCCCGTCATCTGTGAGGTGGTCATGGCGCCAACATGAGCTGTCCCCTCCCTCGTGCAACCATCGTTCTTTCCACTCACCCTCCCATTGGCTACACTGCACTGTTGACGAGATCGCTGCATTTTGTGTGGACTGCATCACACTCCCACCACCTGTCTTTCTGACGCATGCGCAGAATCCAGCCCTTCAGGCCCAAGTCCTCTGCGGTCCTGCTGGGGACTTGGCACTGAAGGGTCTCCCGGGGGACAAGGCCAATCCGAGGACTCTTGGATTGGGCCTCTTCTGTCTGGGCTGGGTGGGGGAGAGTGATGACGCAGTAGCAGTGGTGGCGGTGGAGCCTGGCGCTGGGCCAGCTGCCGTGGTGACTCTGCCCTGATCAGTTGCAGGCCCAGGGCCTTCTGTCTGGCCGACAGCGACGAGGAGTCCTCCAGTGCTGGCTCCTCTGACGAAGATGACGCACCAGAGCCTGGCGCAGGAGACAAACCGCTTCTCCCAGGGGCTGAAGGGTGAGTGGATCCAGCTTCTGGGGTCTTCAGGGGTCAGGGCTGCAAGTTGGGAGTGAGCTTTTATTGTCTTTTCCTCTCTGATCTTCCTTCCTCCTTCACTTTGAGTGAATGATTTTTGCATTAATAACTAAAAGCCAGTGGGATAAAATTTCATGCCCCAAAGCAAAAGACCCGAATAGCTTTCCCTAATTAAGAGGGTCCAGACCAAAATGGTTTTCTTGGGCCGTTGGGATAAATAACAGAGAATTGAAGGGTGTGTTTGTCACAAGGAGCACAGATTACACAACAGCTCCCCCTGGTGTGGATAGGGAGCATTACTTCCCTTCTGACGGGTCACACTTGCTTCTGTTGAGCTTTTAGTTCCTACAATGTTGAAACATTCAGGTGATTTCTTCGGTGAATTTTGAAAACGTGGGTCACTTAGCTGATCTTTTGGATCATGAACTACATTTTGGTGGCTCCCTTTGCCTGTTACTTGGACTGCTGAATGATCAAAGTGCTTAGGCTGCCTCTCTGTAAGGATCTTTTAATTATTTAAAGTGAGTGAAGAAACTAAAATGATAAAGAAACCAGGTGATTCAGAAGTATTTGTAAGAAAATATCAACCTATTCACTTTTGAAGTCCTACAGAAGATGAAAAGAGAGTCTAGATGTTTGAGGAATTGGGACTAAAGTTTGTGTGCATTATTTAAACTCTCCCCACCTGACCTTCTTAAGAAGAATTGCTTTTGCCTACACGCATACCCTTACTATTCCTGACACTCTGGAACTGTGGAGGATTTTAAGAGCAAATATCCTCTCTTCTTAGGGCAGTCTTAGGTAGATATGACCTGATACAGGAAAGCTTGCTTTCCTGGGCTGCTAGCGTATCAGCCGCATGCAGCTTTTTTTCTTTAGATGCTCCTGAGCCCTTTGACAAGTCGTTGCTGCTCAGAGTTGCTGTGACACCATCCAAAAGGCAGATGTTTTACTGTGCTTTGTGGCCCTGTTAATGCAGCCTGATTTCTTATTTGCTATGTAGAGATGGTGAGATTTTGCTCAGAGGACACTGGATTTATATTCAGTATTTGAAGGTTATAAAGGAGAGCAGGTGAGATACCTTCCCTGCTTGCAACTGTGAGAACTTGGTCTGACTCGCCATTGTCAAGACTCAGGCTCTATCTGATGTCTAAACCTTGTCTAAAGTTGTAGTTCTCTGGACTTCCCTGGTGGTCCAGTGGTTAAGACTCTGTGTTTCCACTGCAGGGGCACAGGTTCGACCCCTGGTCGGGGAACTAAGATCCTGCATGCCATGCAGTGCAGCCAAAAGTAAATAAATTAAATTAAATTTAAAAATAAATAAAGTAGTAGTTCTCACCTGGGGGTTATTTTGTTCCCCCCCCCCCGGGACATTTAGCCATGTCCAAAGACATTTTTTATTGTCATATCTGTGGGGGAACATGCTATTGACATCCAGTAGGCTGAGGCCAGGGATGCTGTTAAACATCTGGCAACATCCACAACAAAGAATCGCCCAGTCCACCATGTCAGTGGTGCTGCAGTTGAGAAACTCAGGTCTAAAGTCAGGTGAACACAGAGCCACCAAGTTGTTTTTGAAGGAACAAAGTCTGTACTAACACCCGTCTGTGTCCCTCATTTAAAGGTATGTTGGAGGTCACCGAACAAGTAAGATTATGAGGTTTGTTGATAAAATTACCAAGTCAAAATATTTCCAAAAAGCAACGGAGACAGAGTTCATTAAAAAGAAGATTGAAGAAGTCTCCAATACACCACTGCTGCTGACTGTAGGAGTACAAGAATGCAGAGGAACCTTGGCGGTCAACATTCCACCTCCCCCGACCGACCGAATGTGGTGCGTAGAGGGCTCCGCGGGCTCAGCCAGTGATTCCCCTTCTTGCACGACCAGAAAAATCCCATAAAAACTGCTGATCCTTGACCTTCTCCTGGGAAGAAGCACTTTCACACGTTTTTCGTGGAACCTTAACATTAGTTGTAAATCTGATTCTGTCGTCTACTGTGAGTGGTTAATTCACATATAAAGACTCATCTTCACACATTAGGAAGAGTTGAGGTTATTGGTGAAGTTTATGGGATGAGCTGTTTCTATTCTTGGTCTTCCTCCTCTCTCAAGCCAACCCCTTCCACCAGTGAGAACAGCTCTCATTTGTAGACCTCTTATTCTCTGCCTAGCCTGGGGTGTAACTGCTTTACCTGGCCAGTCCTCACAGCATCCCGCGGAGATAGGGCCATCGTTATGCCCACCTTACAGATGGGGATCACACATCCAGCAGAGTCCTGGGTGGTTAGGGAAGACTTCCCCAGGTCAGATCTGGATGTTAAGGAGGCAGGAGCACGTGTGCTTGGTAACTGTGGTAGAAGGTCTACCCAGAGAGTTGTCATTTGACTGAACCAGTGGGTCTTAACTCCACCTGCATATCACAGTCACCTGGGTGACTTGTTAAAGCTATGCCCAGCCCAGCCCCCAGGATTCAGCGGCTGGGGGGACTAAGCCAGGATTGAGAATCACTGAAATAAATTTTTCATGGGCCCAGCAGAAGAAAATCACTATCTATAAATCTCAATTTTAAATTGACATTCAGATGTGCATAAGGGTATACAGGGATTGCATAAAAGACCTCTTTGTACCATAAGCTACAGTTGTGTGAAAAAGATAGCTCTGTTCTGTTACAGAGTGAAACCAGCATGCTGGTACACAGCCTTAGTGTTCAGAAGGGCTTGTAGGAATGATCACAAAAGGATTTTTTAATTGACTGATCATTTAATGATGATACTGGTGTTTCCCAGTAAAAACTTTAAAATACCATTTTAGATTTTATTTTTAAAAAGTAATGTTTTCACTGGAAGAACATGAAGAAAACAGGAAAAAAAAAAAAGCCTGTAACCTTTTACCATCCCCAAATAACCAGTTAATAAGTAACTTACTGTGCATTTTTCCAAGCCTAATAACAAATTTTCTTTTAAATAGTAAGAGTTGATACGTTTCTTCCTCTTCCAAGCTTTGACTTAGGAGTTACAAATGCCACTGCTCAATGGGAGTTAAAATTAGAGACCTCTAGGCTAGTGCCACGCAGTGCATGCTCGAGTGCTGAACTGTTTGTTATTAATCCACAAAGATACGTATAGATACTGAGAGTGTTTAGAAACATTTATAGCAATCTGCCATTTTTATCATACAGGCAGACCTCATCTTACTATGCTTTGCTTTCTTGTACTTACCGATATTGTGTTTTTTACAAATGGAGGTTAGTGGCAACCCTGCATTGTCAGATGATGGTTAGCATTTTTTTTTAGCAATAAAGCGTTTTTCAATTGAGACACATACGTTGTTTTGCACACTTAATTGACTACAGAATAGTGTAAATATAACTTTTATATGCACTGGGAAACCAGAAATTCACGTGACTCACTTTATTGCAGTAATTAGCTTTATTGTGGTAATCTGGAACTGAGCCCACGGTATCTCCAAGGTGTGCCTGGATGTTTTAAAACATTGGTCCATGATGGGTTGAAGTTTTTAGTTTGATAGCACACAGTCTCTTGACTGGATACCTTACCAACAATTCTGAGTGCCAGTCTGCTCCATTGAGAAGCCATAATTATGGTGTGGAGTGTGGAATGAAAAAGCAGGTTATAGAACGTTTCTATTTACGTATGCATATTAGGAGTGTGGGGAAAATGGATCCCACTTCTCTCAGTGGTCCTATCTTGGTTATGAGACTCAGAGAGAGAGTGTCTTTTATTTTCTGCTTTATACACTTGTATATTTTGGATTTTGTAACAGACATATCCTACTTTCATAAAAATAGAAACAAAGAAGATCCTTTCCATTTTAGGAAAAACAAAAACAAGAAACAATGCCTAGGTCATGGACTTTTCCAGTGGCATTTCCTGGCTTTCTTAGTTTGTCACAACTGTTCTCAGATCATCACGGCCCTGGGTCCAGGGACACAGGGAGTTCACAATTCATACTTGCTGCACTGAAGTGTTTTTTAGAAGGGATTTTCGGAAGAAGAGAACATTTAAGTAGTGATAAAGCCTTGTGTAAATGAGGAATGTTTGCTCTTGGTACTGTCCACTTCTTTTCTTTGATTCTAAATGTGGTTATTACTCGTCTTTAAAAGGTATGGTTTCCGGAAGCCACCACATATCGAGCTGAAAGCTCGGCCAAAACTTGGAGAGAGAGAAGTGACTTTAGTTCATGTGACAGACTGGATAGAGAAGAAACTGGAGCAAGAGTTTCAGGTACACCTGCAGTGTCATCTAGTGTTTCATTGCTGAGGCTCTAAAAGCTCTGGGTAGAACAGAGGTTCTGAACTTCATGTGGGTCAGGATCCTCCTTGGAAAATCTGGTGAAAGCTATGGACCCCAGGAAAGTACACATATGATCAAATAGGCATAAAGTTTCAGGTTTAGTTTCAAAAACTCTGAAACTCATCCACAGAACCCCGTGAAGTAGTCTTTAGAGGAAACGCAAAAGGTAGGGGTCAAAGAGCAAAGTGACTGTCTTGTACCAGTAGGCCTGGCGAGCCGTCCATCTGCTGGGGCTATCTTTGGACTTTTCCCCGGGTGGGGCCTGGAATTGGCTGGCCAGCTAGTAGCACCCGGGCTGTGGTGGTTCCTGCCCTTGTTTGTTTGTTGCAACAAACATTCTGCGTGTAGCTACCACCTACCCTGGAAGTCCAAAGATGAATCAGGCCTGTCCCTCCCCTGTGGATCTTCTAGGGTAGTCTAGAGATCTTCTGGAGTTGACTAAGCCAGAGCTCATTCTCTAAGCCTGTCTTCTGCATTCTGCAACCAAGGGAAATAGCAGTGTAGCTGAGGCCCTGGAATGAGCTGTTTCTATCAAATTTTTATCAGGTTTTTGAGGCATCCTTGTCTTTTAAGGTTTTACGGATTAACAGACTATTTACTTTGTAGTAAATTTCAGCTTTTGAAGAATACCGGTATTATTTTTGCAGTAGTATATTTTGAGTTATTGCCTTTAAAATTATATATTTTTTATTATTTAAAAGCTATAGGTTAAATATAACTAAAAACCAATCTATGGAAAGCTTAATTTTATCTCCAAAAGGAAGAGTACTTTGAACCTAATTGGGGGAAAGACAATCTCATGCCTTCAGTTCTTTTCCTTTTTCTTATCTCCCTAGATCCTGCATTAGGAATTTGGGTGGGTCATCTCTTTTAGGGGTATTAGGGGTATAAGGGTCATCTCTTTTAGGGGGCAAACTTTGGTGCATGGTATTTTTGAGGCAAGTTGGGAAGTTGAAGGGTAACTGCTTGCATTCTCCCATGGCCACCTGTTTTTGTTTTTGCTTTGGAAGAAAGCATTGCTGAAGTTGAACACATTGCCAAAATTCACTTACATAAAATTAATTTATAAACAGATAGGCAAAGCACCATTACTGTCAAGCACTCATTATCCTTTGGGTGTTCACTATAGTAGGATTTCTTTCATACAGAGCTTTAACTGGTTCTGGTTTGAAAAAACAAAAAATTAGCTTACATTTTTGTTGCTAGGATTTAAATGGGTAAGTTGGCTTATGTGTGTTGGACTATGTGTTCTGGATACAGTAATTTGGAAATACTATGAGCAGCTTACGCTCTTAATTCTCTTAATGTTATTAATCAATTCATGAGTCCTTTTATTATATGTACATGAAATCAAAGGCTGCTTCTTCCTCAGAGCTTATTGGGTTCTCGTGTTCGTGCACTGGTGTGATACCTCAATGCTTTCTAAATATCATAGAGGAATTAGCTTGGAATGTGTAGGAAAAGTTGTTTCATATGTATTTTAAAAACTAGTCTAAAGCCTAAAATTATCAGAACACACTAGGGCAACTCTGAGAAAAGAGCATTCTTCCACATGCCTGTTCCTTCTTTCTACAGAAAGTTTTTGTCATGCCAAACATGGACGACGTTTATATCCCTATCATGCACTCAGCCATGGATCCTCGCTCCACTTCCAGCCTCCTGAAAGACCCACTGGTGGAGGCTGCTGATCAGCTGTGATGGGTGCAGACCTGGTGTTCCCAGTATTATGAGATGAAGCTCAAGGTGTGGGGTTCTCGGCTGCCATCTGGGCTGTAGCACTGGCCTTTCCTCGTGCCACAGCTTCTGCCCTCTGCCTGCCGGTGCCCATCCCACTGGGAGGTGTCCAGTGAATGGGGTCCAGATAGCCTCCTGCAAAGCTTTGACTCAGCAAAGGAAAACTTGGAAGGATTGTCACGGTGGATCCAGAGATTACAGGTGACCCCCACCATGGCTTTTCTAAGTCTACCAGTTTTTGTGGCAGCAAAAGAGCACATTAAGAGCGAAGCTGCACAGCTGGGAGGCTTCCCCTTGCCTCCTCGATGCCTCCAAAGCTTTTTCTCAGGCAGCCAGTGCAGTGGAATGTTTTCTCACTTTTACAGTTTGTGTGACGCAGCCCTCCACACCAAGAGAACGTCAGTGTGGTTACACATGTGGAGGGTGGGGAGTGGAATTTTGTGAACTATTTCTTTGGTGATAAAAAGATATGCATAGCAACTTACTCTTCTTATCAATTGTGCGTTTTGGAAGCAAGTAGCCATAGAACACACACTCTAACACACTATCAGCTGGGGCGGGAACCGTGGGATTTATGTGACCATTAGGCAAAGCCATGAGATCAAACCATCCCACACCTGTTACCAAGGAGGTACAATCACCTGGTTTCTGACTAATCCCAAATGTTTTCCTGAGACTTGAGCATATGTGGAAATATCAAACAAACCTAATGACTGGACTGGGGTGGGGCCAGGAAGCCAGAGCCACCGTCCTTCCACCTGGCACTTGCTGTGAGCTCTGGGAAGCTTTAAATAGGCATCTTAAATGCTTTGTTAACCTAATCGGTTTGGGATGTTTTGTGGGCAGTTTCCTTTTCTGATGTGGCCAAAACCGGAGACTGCTCTCTATCGTCTTGAGTCCAGATGAGGCTCAAGTTTGCTCGGCATCAAACACTACAGATCTCAAAATTAACGTGACATTTAACGTTGCCAACTTTATTTTGTGCATTTGTGTCAGAACATTTAGTTTACAGGTTTCGGGGCTCTCTCAAACTGTGTAATTTGCTTTGAGAAGTACACTCAATACAATTTTTTAATTGTTTAAAGCTGCATTCAACATCAAACTTACCTTGGGTTAACTTTTGACAACTTACATGTGGACAAAGCTAATAGTGGTTTTTTAAACAGCAACAGCACCTTGCCTGAACGGGACTTTAAAGAAATATATTGAAAAAAACATATTCGAACCCTTATTTGATTACTTTAATTGTACCATTAAAACATTTGACTTAAATTATCGGACCATTCCAGTCAGTGTACTGTTCTGATTTCTCATTGTGTAGGCCAATTTGCCTGTCAGTGCGCATGTCTTGTTCGCTGGTCTTATAATTTTTGTGCAATAATTAAAGGCAAAGGACTAGATGCACTATTGTGTAAAGAGATTACACATGACTGTACCCTATTGCACTTAATCAAATAGTATGTGGGGATTTACAATCGCTTGCATTGTTTCACAAAATAAATGTCTGTCAAATACTAGATAAGCATCTAAGTCATTTCTACTTGATCCTGCTTAGATAATAGGAACAGAATAAACTGTGGTACAGAATAAACCTGGGCCCTCAGCTGCCAGTAGCAGCTTCGGTTTCTTGGGTGGTCACTGGACCCGTCCTGTTCGAGGATCCAAAGTAGACCACACCCTGATATAAGGAAGGCGCTATTATCCTCGATTCGTATTTTTTAAAGTCCTGCTTCTGGGGCTTCTCTGATGACGCAGTGGTTGAGAGTCCGCCTGCCGATGCAGGAGACGGGTTCATGCCCCGGTCCGGGAGGATCCCACAGGCCGCGGAGCGGTTAGGCCCGTGAGCCATGGCCGCTGAGCCTGCGCGTCCAGAGCCTGTGCTCCGCGACGGGAGACGCCACGACAGTGAGAGGCCCGTGTACCGCAAAAAAAAAAAAAAACACTCCTGCTTCTGAGCTAGAGTTTACACCAACTGCCTACTAACCCTGCTGACTTGGGGCCCCCTCCATTAAGTACCAAAGGGGCTAGACATGCCCTTCAACACGTGCTGCCTTGTACTCAGAAATGATGCTCGTTTCACCTAAATCCAGGAGGGATCGTTATCACCTAGTATGTGGATTACGAAGGAGTGATTGTGCATTTATTTAGGTGCCCATGTTGTGCCCCGCAATGCACAAAACCGTCATTGTGAGCTGTTCAAGCTATCTGGGACACAAAGCAGTTGACCCTAAACGGCTGTTTTTCTAAGTGGTCCGCGAATACACCTCAGCCAGACGAGCTCAGCCTATGCAGCTCACGACCGGGAACCAGTTAGTGTCAAGCGCACTACAGCCTTCACTCAAGCGGTTCAAGGCCACAGCCGGATTCTCATCTCCCCTCCCTGCAGACGCTCTCCTCGCCGCGGTTAAATGAACCTGCCCGTCTCACTGATTTCCACGGAGAGAACACTCGGACTCACAGGACAGGCACAGGAATAAGCAGAAGACTGCAGGACCCCCGAGGCCCCCCACCCCAGCCCGGTGCCGCAGTGTAGCTCGCGGTTAAAAGGGCCGCCGCCGCGGGGGCAAGACGGCCCCAGTTATGCGCAAGCGCGTGCTGCTCTGGCGCTGCAGCCTGACCCCCGGCGCCACGCGCAGGCGCGGCAGGGGCTCAAAAGCAGCGCGTCGCGACAAACATGGACACCACCGCTGAGATCAAGCCATTTTATTGAGGGGCTTCGGGGTAGGGTAGAAAAGCTGGGAGGACAATGAGATCCAACGTCCTTCTCCTAGCCGGGACCTGCAAGAACGAGAGCGGTGGGTGAGGAGGAGGTGGTATACCCGCAAAGCCGTTTCCCACCCCCCAGCCTCAGCGGCCCGGCTCAGACTCCAGTTCGCATCACCCGCGTCAGCAGTCTAACACGTGCTTTAATTTGGATATCATCACCGCCAGCCGCCCACCCTCCACCCGGTTCCCAGGCCCACGAAAAAGGGGGGGAAACAGACCTGCGCCAGCCAAGTACAGACCCAACCTCACTTTCACCACTTCACAGTCGCTGAAAGGAAGGGGAACTCGCCGGGCTTCTACTTAAAGAAGCAGACCGGAGGTGGTTGGGCGGGCTTTACCGCCATTAACCAATAGCAAGTCAAACTTCTAGCCACGTGCCTGTAAAGTGGCCTAATGATTGGCCCTGCTCACTGAGTCCTCCAGAGTATAGAGCGGTTATATATAGAGCCAGCCGTCAAGATGGGCGTCAAGGGAAGACTAAGAGTTGCGCGGTGTCCTAAATTCTAATGATTTTTTTCGCGGCGTAGGTCGTCGGCCTGTGAGTAGTGTGCGTTTCTCCATACTACACAAAACGAAACCTTACAAACGGCAGGGCGCAAGTAATGCCTAACCTGTTTAATATTCTGTGCCAGGAGCTAGGCTAGGAGCTGAGGTGACAAACTAGTCTTGTCCCTGAATTTAAAGTAACCTGTTCCGGCAGAAAGACCTTGTGTTTGAAAGTAGACTGATGTGCAACCAAATCCTGACTTTGTGATGAATTCGCCCTGTGACCTTGATCACTTAGCTTTTCTGAGCCTCAACTTCTGAAAAATAGGGGAAAAAAAAGTGTTGTACGAGGCTTAAATAAGTTAATGTCAGTCATCTGGTACATTCTGAGTGGTAAACAAATATGTTTTTAAAGGACTGGTGTGATGTGGAAGACTTATGGATTGCAATACTTTAATAAACGCCAAAACAGAGCTATAAACAGCCTACACTGGAAGCCCAAAGGAGAGAAGGTCTAACATTGGGAAAGCTGAAAGTACTTCTAGGTATTGAGCTCATACTGTGAGCCAGGCATATTATTCACAAGTGGTCAATAATATGTCCCTGCCCACTGGGTTTGATTTACTGGGAGAGGGAACAGAAGACACACGGGCACAATATCTGGTTATCTTTACTTCCTTTATATGTTTTCCTTGGGAATTCTTTTCCTTTTTTCCTCCTAACTTAATAAGGAAAGTTTATTGGTTTTTTGTTATAATGAAAGCATTTCAGCCTGAGTTTGGAGTTGAATAGGACTCTTATTTTCATTATTTGCTACATAGTCTTTAGTTAAATTTTAAAATTCCTCTTTGATCCAAAACAGTAGTTATTTTGGCAAGTGTTCTGTAACGTCTATATGATGTTGACTTTAAGAAAAACCAAAACACACAATGTAAGAGCTGTGAGTTGAGTTTATTCAGTGTCTTACTGAGGACTGTAGCCCAGGAGACAGTAGGAGAGCTATGAGAAAGTGTTCCCAAGAGGTAAGGGAGGAGCCTGTCTACATATGAATTTTTTTGCTGGGGAAAAAACATCTAGTCGAACATCAAAGATTACTGCTAATCACAAAGAACAGACATCTCAAGTTAATGATTTTAGTACTCTTCTACGTATGGGAAGATGCAAGAATCTAGGAGGTGTGGAAAATTTTTCCTTAGATATGTATCTTAACTATCTAGGGGCAGTATCCAAAGCACAGAATGCTTCCTGTTTTTCTCCATCCTGAAATCCCCATAGGCCCACTCTCAGTGGGTGACTTTAGTGACTAATGGCTTGATTTCCTTGTAGAACTGGAGTGGCAGACAACATTTTTTTTCTTTACGACTTTTTAAAAAATATTTATTTATTTATTTGGCTGCACCGGGTCTTAGTTGCAGCACGTGGGATCTTTCAGTTGTAGCATGCGGGCTCTTTTAGCTGTGGCACATGGGATCTAGTTCCCTGGCCAGGGATTGAACCTGGGCCCCCTGCATTGGGAGCACAGAGTCTTAACCACTGGACCACCAGTGAAGTACCTACAATGATTATTTCTATTGCTGTGGAAACATTTTCTTAAAATATTTATTTATTTATTTGGCTGCGTTGGGTCTTCGTTGCGGCATGCCGGATCTTTGTTGCAGCACGAGGGCTTCTCTCTAGTCGTGGCACACCCGGGCTCAGTTGCCCCACGGCATGTGGGATCTTACTTCCCCAACCAGGGATCGAACCCGTCACCCCTGCATTGGAAGGTGGATTCTTAACCACTGGACCACCAGGGAAGTCCCAAACATTTGTTTTTAAGTCAACATTTATTACACTGTCATACAGTTTCTACATTGGGAAATGAATTAAAGTTTTCTTTGTAGCGTAGAATATGATCTCCTTTTATAAATGTTCCACAGATTTTGAAGTGGAGATGTTTTCACTATCATGTACAGATAATGGCATGAAGTATTGATTAATTTGGGGCTTCCCTGGTGGCGCAGTGGTTAAGAATCTGCCTGCCAATGCAGGGGACACGGGTTCGAGCCCTAGTCCAGGAAGATCCCACATGCCGCAGAGCAACTAAGCCCGTGCGCCACAACTACTGAGCCTGCGCTCTAGAATCCGTGAGCCACGTGCCACAACTAATGAAGCCCGCGTGCCTAGAGCCTATGCTCCGCAACAAGAGAAGCCACCGCAGTGAGAGGCCTGCGCACCGCAAGGAAGAGTAGCCCCCCCCCCCCGCTCACCGCAACTAGAAAAAAGAAAGCCCACACACAGCAACAAAGACCCAATGCAGCCAAAAATAAATAAATTAATTAATTTTTAAAAATTATTAATTCAGTCTTAGCTGTAATTATGTTGTCTAAATCTCTCTCTGTATTTTATACTTGATTGGGAGTGTATGTATTCTCATTGATTAATAGTGAAGTGTTAAGATCATGCTTCAGATACCAAATGCAGGCAAGGATGCAAAGCAGCAAGAACTTTTCTTCATTACTGTGTGGGAATGCAAAATAGTACAACCATTTTCATAATCCCCTAAAACTGCAATCACTCAAAAGCACTTCAGTGGGTAAGTGGTAAGCAATTGAGGTACATCCTTACAACTAAATGCTACTTGGCCATAAAATATTGCCAAAAATAGAATGAACTATCAACACGTGTCACACATGGAAGAATCTCAGAGGTGTTATGCGGTGGGAAAGGAGCCAGACTCAAAAGATGCTATAATTCCATTTATATGACATTATAGAAAAGACAAAACTATAAGGATGGAGAACAGATCAAAGAACTCCCAAGAGATTGGGGATGTGTGGAGCATTTGGCTACAAAGGCAGCACAAAGGCATTTTTGAGGGTGATAGATTTTTTTCTGTATCTTGATTATGTTGGTGGTTACAGGACTTTATGCATTTGTCAAAACTCAGAACTGTTCACCCAAAAGATTTAATTTTATTGTATAAAAATTTTAAACAAAAAATTAAAATAAAAAATCTGCTTCCGTCATTTTCCATGATTATTTCTATTGTTATTTGTTTGTACATTTTGAGGCTATGCTATTAATTCTCATTATGGTTTGTGGCTGATAATATTTCCATTGTGGATTACACATATCTGTATAAAATAACTAAGTTATTTATGTCTTTTGCCTTGAGTTCTAATTTATCTCACATTAGCATTATTACTCGTCTTTTTGTTTGTTTGTTTTTCTGATATGTTTGCCCATCCGTTTATTTCTAACCTTTCTATGTTATTTTATTCTTAT